TCTCAGTAGTTTCCTTCTCATTCTGCAGTTATCCTGTTTGTTTTCTCTGCTCCAAATTTAAATATGTTTACCATCTTTTGAGAGAAGAAAAAAATGTTTGCCGTGTGGAATTTCAAAAATCTCTGCCTGAGAACTTATGGAAGCTGAGGGAACAAGCAGAAAGGTAAACTTTGGTTTCCTGGGGCAATGTCCATTTTGGGGCTTAGAAAGACTAGGGTGTAGGCGCTGGTTCAGTTAGTGGGGAGGCAGAGGTAAGTTGAGGTCCCACACAAGAAAAATATTCCTTGGCTGGGTAAGCAGAACTGGTTGTATATATTGAAGAGCTGTGTGAGTTTATTATTTTCATGTTCCTATATGCCTAGGGTTCCTGCTAAGATGGCTTCGGCAAGTGGCTGGAAAGTGGTTGTTGTGATAATGTGAATGGCTCCATTTGTTTTGTTTTTCCACTGGAGAAGGCACCGTTTTGTATTTACTAGGAGCCGTTCAGATGAGTGATTAAAAGTGGGTATAAGAAGGCATTCATTAGTTGTGGGAGCTGTGTTACAATGGGTCCAGGAGTGAATATTCATGCAAGATGTATGTCTGCCAAGACAAAAACCGGATTGATTGTTAAGCAGAGAGGTGGTGCTGACTTTTGGGGGTTCTGTAAAGCGGGCAGGTCAACTAAATGAGCAGTTTGGATGACCAGAAAGTCTTGATAGTTAGTTGGGGCTTGGAGTTGTAAGGTAAATCTGCATTGATGGCATAGTAGGTAGCCAAGAGGTAGGCCTGAGGATAGATTGCTTTGGAAGCTTAAAGGGGCCTGAAAAGTTAAAACAGTATTTATGGTTACATAAATGTATGGGTTTGTTATTACCTATGTATGGAGTGAGGTTGGAAATGTAGGAGTGCAGAAGCTGTACCGCATGTCCTGTCAGGGTATGTTTGGTCATGCCATTGATGGAGAATTTGGCTAGTGACTGCATATTTAAAAGTTGGAAGGGGCTTCTTCCTTCATAGCAAGAGTGTTAGGTTAGGTGAATAAGAACCCAAGTTTTTGCAGGGACGGGAGTGGCAGTATAAGTTGTAGCTGAGAGATGGAAAGCCAGCAACCTTTTGCTAGGGTTGGATTGGATTGGTTTAGCAAAGAATGAGTTAATGGATTTGTAGAGGTAGTTGGGAATAATAGGAAGGGGAGGTGCAATTATGTGCAGCAGCCAAGGGAACAGAAGGAATAGGCAGACAAAGAATGAGTAGGAAAGTAAACAGTTGTACTTCATCTGGGGAGAAGTTACAAAGGGTATCTTGGAAAAGAAGGTTATTTATTTCATCTACAGGAGAATTAGGGGTTGCAGCCTGAGGGTGGAACCAGGAAATGTCTTGGGAAACAGAATGGAGGAAGAGGGTGAAGTGGCAAGATAGACAGGAGCAGGGCATTCAAGTTTCTTCAGGAATTTGGATAAGTTTCAGAGAAGCTGGGGAGAGTACTTGCGACTTCCAAGATGGGGTGGGAGAGTCAGGTTGCTCGTGTGGTGGACACAGCTTTATCCTGGAGTGGTGTACCCACTGGGGGGGATTTTGCAAGCAGGCAGTGGTTGGGGTGCTGTAGACAACCAGAAAGGGGCCGGTCCACTGAGGATGTAGAGACTGAGGGGTTAAGCTTTTTATTAGAACTTACCATACGGCTAGGATGTTCTAATATGGCTGGATATCTGGAGTGGGTAAGAGAAAATATCAGCCTGGTGGATTTTATGTCTGACCTGTTGGAGGACTGGGAGATAGTCTCCAAGTAAGCTGGTGTTTGGATAAGGTTGGGTCCAAGCACAAAGGTACGGCCATCTAGGAGTTTGAATGGGCTGTACCTGGTGGATTCTTGGGATGTGGCTTGAATCCAGAGGAATGCAAGGGGTAGGAGGATGGTCCAGTCCTTTTTGAGCTGGAGAGTGAGTGACTTCTAGCAAGGGATGGGGAGGTGGTGTCCCAGACTCTAGGGTTAAGGTAGGGGGACATAAGGGGAGCTACTGAGGGAGGTACAGGTTCAGGAGGAGGGTGGCAATGAGGTGTGGCTGTAGCCCAGGAATAGTTAAGGAGGCAGACAATTTTGTTAGGATATCTCAGCCTAACAGGAGAACTGGACAAGTGGGGATGATTAGGAAAGAATGTGGAAAGGAGTGCTGGCCTAATTGACACCAGACCTGGAGAGTTATGAGAGGCCTGGAAGCCTTGCAGTTTAGTCCCGTAACAGTAACTGTCAATTCCCACAACAGTTAGGGAGGCCAAGGAGACAGGTTCTTGAAAAGAATGCAGTGTGGAGTGGGTGGCCCTCATGTCAATTAAGAAGGGGATGGACTTACCCTCCACCATAAGAGTTACCCAAAGCTCGACTTCTGTGATGGTCCAGGGGGCCTCTGAGATGTTCAGGCAGCATCAGTCTTCAGCCACCAAGCCGAGGAGATCTGGGAAGGATTCATTTCAGGGAGCTTTGGGTTGGAGCTGCAGGAGCTCTGGGAGCAGCAATGAGTCAGAAAGTCTGACTTCCAGTGGGGGCAGGGCTTAGGAGGAATCCCAGACTGCAGGCATTCATTGACCCAGTGGCCAGATTTTTTACAGTTGAAGCAAGGTCTGGGAGGGGCGGTGGGATAATGCAGTCTGGGTGCTTTGAAGTCTTTGTGAGCTGGTTGTATGGCTGGGGTTTGTCTTATGGCAGAGGCAAGCATCTGTGGTTCTGAGATGTGCTGCTGCGAGGAAGCTTTTTCCCTATTATTCAACACCTTGAAGGTGAGGTTAATTCCTGTTGTGGAGTTTGAGGGTCGGACTCTAATTTCTGTAGCTTTTTTCTAATGTCAGCGGCTGATTGGGTGATAAAATGCATATTAAGAATAAGGCGGCCTTCAGGATCTAATGCTATATTATTACCTGAGGGTGGCATCTAGATGGGCCATAAACTGAGCAGGATTTTTATCTTATTCTGAGTGGTTTCCTTTAGTTTATCATAATTGACAGCCTTATATGCTACCCTCTGAAGCCCTTTAACTAGAAAAAAGATCATGTAATCTCACTTGGCTATGCTAGGGGACCCTGTCTGGTAGTCCCATTGAGGGTCTTCATGGGGTACTGCCTTGGTGCCTTCCTGAAAGCTAGGCTCAAGGTGCCAGCAGTAATCAGCATTAGACTGACCTAGGGTCTAAATCTGTTCCTGTTCTTCAGGGGTGAGAATAGAAGTAAGGATGGCATTTAAGTCACTCCAGGTGAGATTATAGGACTTGGTTAAGTATTGAAATTCTTGTATATATATGGTGCAGTCTGACAGGAAAGAGCCTAGACACTGACTGATTTGGGAGAGGTCAGACAGAGAGAAAGGAACATGTACCTGGACTATTCCTTCAGCTCCAGCCACTTTGCAAAGGGGAAATTGTTGGACAGGGGCAGGGTAGTTAGCCACAGGACTAAACTAAGCTGAGCTGGGTATGAGGTGGGGAAGTGATAGGAGGGGCATAAGGAGGTGGGTTGCAGGCAGAGGTAAAGGAAGGAGGCTCTGGCGGGGGGAGGTCAGGGCCTGGATTAGAACCTGGTTCGAACAGGTAGGGAGGAGAAATGTTGGAAGGGTTGATGGACAAGGAGGATTCTGAGTCACTGGAAGAGACAGGAGAGGTAGACAGAAGGGAGAGAAGGGAAAATTTGGGATGGGTCACATTAAGAGTAGAGATTAGGGAGGGATTGGAGTGTAAAAAAATGTCTGGACATAGGGCATTTCAGACCATTTGCCCATTCTGTGACAAAAATTGTTTAAGTCCCACAAAATAGAGAAATTGAAAGTGCCATTTTCTGGCTGTTGGGAGCCATTGTCTAATTTATATTGAGGCCAGGCTGTGTTACAGAAAAAAATTAGACATATAGGCTTTAGATCAGGTGAAAGTTTGAAGGGGTTTAAGGTTCTTGAGGCACAGGCCAGAGGGAAAGAAGGAAGGATGGAGGGCAGAAGATTGCCCATGATAGACTAGAGATGATTGAATAGAAAGATAGAGATGAGGAGGAGAGCAACCACTAGGACCCTCAGCAGGTGTCCCCAACTGGGGTTCTGGGCTATGCAACTGGTGAAAGGCCAAGGTGGGTTCCCATTGTTGACCAGACACCAAGGGAAGACTGCTTTCCCAAGGAAAGTCTGTGACTAATATTGGATTTTTGAAACACAGATAGGTGGTGTCATCTTTGTCTCTATTTAGGAAGAGGAATGGTTTAAAGAGAAATGGAGATTGTTTACCTCATCTGAAGACAAAGGCAGGAATTTTATAGGCCAGTCTGAGTTTCCAAGGTCAATGGTAGACTCTTCAAGGAAGGAGAATGGGATAGATCTGAAGGAGTTCCCCTATCCTGGATTTTGACACCAAATGGTAAGCACACATCTGACTGAAAAGGCAACCCAAATAGGCTTTGTGTGAGCAACAAAGCTGTGTATTCACCTGGGTGTGAGCAGGCTGAGTCCGAAAAGGGAGTCAGCATGGAGGTGTGGGGCAAAGCAGGCTTTATAGGTTGGGGCAATGAGTGGAAAGTTACAGTTTAGGGTTGGTTGTCATTGACTCAGTGGGTTGATTAGTAGGCTGGAATAGGAACCTGTTGTCCTCCTTCTTTGTGGTCTTCTTACTGTTTCAGACTTTCAGGCTCCAGGAGAGCCATCTGGAGGCATACATGCAGGTAACAGAGTTCATAATGCCTTGACAACAGTGCTACCATCTTTGGGGGACCTAACACGATGGAGATGCCTAGTTCTTCCTTGTATTACAGGAAAGGGGTCCCGATCCAGACCTCAAGAGAGAGTTCTTGGATCTCATGCAAGAAAGAATTCAGGGTGAGTCCACAGTGCAAAGTAAAAGCAAGTTTATTAAGAAAGTAAAGGAATAAGAGGATGGCTATTCCATAAACAGAGCAGCCCTGAGGGTGGCTGGTTGCCCATTTTTATGCTTATTTCTTGATGATTTGCTAAACAAGGGGTGGAATATTCATACCTCCCCTTTTAAGGTAACTTCCTGACATTGCCATGGCATTTGTAAATTGTCATGGTGAGGCAAGAAAATAGTGTCTGGAAGCAGGGAACATAAAGCCAATTCACACTTCATCTACAACAGGAAATATCCTCTCCCTAGGGCATGCACCAAGTAAATAACTTTGTAACTGTTGTAGGAGTTATTAAGAAATTATTTTAGGTAGATAGAGGGGAAAAGGGGTCCTTGGGAAGTTTTTTTTTTTTTTCCCCCTTGAAAAAGGATTTCTTTATTTTAATATGCTTTTAAACACTTTGGTTACAGGAATATCTTATATATAACAAATAATATATAGAATATGACCTTATAAATTCATATGTCAATTGAAGGCCAACAGTGTTTATCTAAATATTATTTTTGACAAAGAGTTATGCTTAGCTAAAACATGAGTTCAAATTAAGAAGGGGATATTAAAATACTTTATAAGTGATGATTTGCATGCTTCTATCTTCAAGTAGTTTGTGTTTTACTTAAAAGCAATAGTATTCTGGCCATTATTATATCTGCAGTACCACATACAGATTCTCAATCAGTACGCAGTAAGTTCTAAATGGATATATGTATAATGGAAACACAAGGCATTGAATATATATATTTTTATTATACTTTAAGTTCTAGGGTACATGTGCAGATCTTGTAGGATTGTTACATAGGTATACACATGCCATGGTGGTGTGCTGCCTCCATCGCCCCATCACCTACATGAGGTATTTCTCCCAATGTTACCCCTCCCCAATCTCCCTGCCCCCTGCTATCACTCCCCTAGCCCTCTACCCCTCAACAGGCTCAAGTGTGTGATGTTCCTCTCCCTGTGTCCATGTGTTCCCATTGTTCAACACCCACTTATGGGTGAGAACATGGGTATTTAGTTTTATGTTCTCATGTCAGTTTGCTGAAAATGATGATTTCCAGATTCATCCATGTCCCTGAAAAGGACACGAACTCATCCTTTTTTATGGCTTCATAGTATTCCATGGTGTATATGTGCCACATCCAGTCTGTTATCGAGGGGCATTTGGGTTGGTTCCAGGTTTTTGCTATTGTAAACAGTGCTACAATGAACATATGTGTGCATGTGTCTTTATAACAGAATGATTTATAATCCTTTGAGTAGATACTCACTAATGGGATTGCTGGGTCAAATGGTATTTCTATTTCTAGATCCTTGAGAATGGCCACACTGTCTTCCACAATGGTTGAATTAATTTTACACTCCCACCAACAGTGTAAAATTGTTCCTATTTCTCTGCATCCTCTCCAGCATCTGTTGTCTCCAGATTTTTTAATGATTGCCATTCTAACTGGCATGAGATGGTATCTCAATGTGGTTTTGATTTGCATTTCTCTAATGACCAGTGGTGTTGAGCATTTTTTCATATGTTTATTGGCTGCATAAATGTCTTCTTTTGAAAAGTGTGTTCACCCATGTTTGATGGGGTTGTTGTTTTCTTGTACATTTGTTTCAGTTCTTTCCATATTCTGGATATTAGCCCTTTGTCAACCGGGTAGCTTGCAAAATTTTTTTCGCATTCTGTTGTTTGCCAGTTCACTCTAATGTTTGTTTCTTTTGCTATGCAGAAGCTCTTAAGTTTAAATAGATCCCATGTGTCTGTTTTGGCTTTTGTTTGCCATTGCTTTTGGTTTAATAGTCATGAAGTCTTTGCCTATGCCTATGTCCTGAATCGTATTGCCTAGGTTTTCTTCCAGGGTTTTTATGGTGCTAGGTCTTATGTTGAAATCTTTAATTCATCTGTAGTTAATTTTTATATAAGGTGTAAGGAAGAGATCTAGTTCCAGCTTTCTGCACATGGCTAGCCAGTTTTCCCAGCACCATTTATTAAATGGGGAATCCTTTCCCCACTGCTTGTTTTTGTCAGGTTTGTCAAAGATCAAATGGCTGTAGATGTGTGATATTACTTCCAAGGCCTCTGTTCCATTGGTCTATATCTCTGTTTTGGTACCAGTACCATGCTGTTTTGCTTGCTGTAGCCTCGTAGTATAGTTTGAAGTCAGGTAGCATGATGCCTTCACCTTTGGTCTTTTTGCTTTGTTTTGTCTTGGCTATACGGAGTCTTCTTCAATTCCATACGAAAGTCTTTTTTTTCTAATTCTGTGAAGAAGGTCAATGGTAGCTTGATGGGGATAGCATTGAATCTATAAATTACTTTGGGCAGTATGGCCATTTTCTCAATATCGATTCTTCCTAACCATGAGCGTGAAATGTTTTCCCATCTGTTTGTTTCCTTGTGTCCTCTGTTATTCCCTTGAGCAGTGGTTTGTATTTCTCCTTCAAGAGGTCCTTCCCATCCTTTGTTATTTGTATTCCTAGGTATTTTATTCTCTTTGTGGCAACTGTGAATGGGATTTTGCTCATTATTTGGCTCTCTGTTTTTCTGTTATTAGTGTATAGGAATGCTTATGATTTTTGCACTTTGATTTTGTATCCTAAGATTTTGCTGAAGTTGCTAATCATCTTAAGGAGGTTTTGGGCTGAGATTATGGGGTCTTCTTAATATACCATCATGTCTTCTGCAAATAGAGACAGCTTGACTTCCGCTTTTCCTAATTGAATACATTTTATTTCTTTTTTTTTTTGCCTGAATGCTCTAAAACTTTCAATACTATGTTCAATATGAATGGTGAGACAAGGCACCCTTGCTTAGTGCCAGTTTTCAAAGGGAATGCTTCCAATTTTGCCCATTCAGTATGATATTGGCTTGGGTTTGTCATAAATAGCTTTTATTATTTTGAGATACATTCCATTGATACCTAGTTTATTGAGAGTTTTTAGCATAAAGGGTTGTTGAATTTTGTTAAAGGCCTTTTCTGCATCTATTGAGATAATCACATGGTTTGTGTCTTTGGTTCTATTTATGCGATGGATTACATTTATAGATTTGCCTTTGTTGAACCAGACTTGCATCCCCAGGATGAAGCCTACTTGATCATGATGGATAAGCTTTTTGATGTGCTGTTACATTTGGTTTTCCAGTATTTTATTGAAGATGTTTGCATCGATGTTCATCATGGATATTGGCCTGAAATTTTCATTTTTAGTTGCGTCTCTGCCAGGTTTTCATATCAGGATGATACTGGTCTCATAAAATGAGTTAGGGGGTATTTTCTCCTTTTGTATTATTTGGAATAGTTTCAGAAGCAGTGGTGCCAGCTCCTCTTTGTATGTCTGGTAGAATTGGGCTGTGAACCCATCTGGACCTTGACTTTTTTTGGTTGGTAGGCTATTAATTGCTGCCTCAACTTCAGCCCTTGTTATTGGTCTATTCAGGAATTCAACTTCTTCCTGGTTTAGTCTTGGGAGGGTGTAAATGTCCAGGAATTTATCAATTTCTTCTAGATTTACTGATTAATGTACATATAGTTGTTTGTAGTAATCTCTGATGATAGTTTGTATTTCTGTGGAATTGGTAGTAATATACCCTTTATCTTTATTAATGCATCTATTGGATTCTTCTCTCTTTTCTTTTTTATTGTCTATCAGTTTATGTATTTTGTTGATCTCAAAATCCAGCTCCTGGATTCATTGATTTTTTTGAAGAGTTTTTTGTGTCTCTGTCTCCTTCAGTTCTACTCTGATTTTATTTATTTCTTGTCTTCCTCTAGTTTTTGAATTTGCTTGATCTTGCTCCTCTAGTTTTTTTCATTGTGATGATAGGGTGACAATTTTAGATCTTTCTTTGCTTCTCATGAGGTCATTTCATGCTATAAGTTTCCCTCTAGACACTTCTTTAAATGTATCCCAGAGATTCTGGTACATTGTGACTTCATTCTCATTGGTTTAAAAGAACATCTGTATTTCTGCCTTCATTTCATTATTTATCATTATTCAGGAGCAGGTTGTTCAGTTTCCATGTTGTTTTGCAGTTTTGAGTGAGTTTCTTAATCCTGAGTTCCCATTTGATTGCACTGTGGTCTGAGAGACTGATTGTTATGATTTCCCTTCTTTTGCATTTGCTGAGGAGTGATTAACTTCCAATTATGTAGTCAATTTTAGAGTAAGTGCAATGTGATCCTGAGAAGAATGTATATTCTGTGGATTTGGGGTGGAGAGTTCTCTAGATGTTTATTAGGTCTGCTTGGTCCAGATCTGTGTTCAAGTCCTGGATGTCCTTGTTAATTTTCTGTCTTGTTGATCTGTCTAATATTGACAGTAGAGTGTTAAAGTCTCCCACTATTATTGTGTGGGAGTCTAGGTCTCTTTGTAAGTCATTAAGAACTTGCTTTATGTATCTGGGTGCTCTTGTGTTGGGTGCATATATATTTAGGATAGTTAGCTCTTCTTGTTGCATTGATTCGTTTACTGTTATGTAATGCACTTCTTTGTTTCTTTGGATCTTTGTTAAAGTCCATTCTGTCAGAGACTAGGATTGCAACCCCTGCTTTTTTTTTTTTTT